TCTTGTGATTCCTTTTTTTCCTTCTGAACCTTCCAGTGGGGGTGCGAGTTTGTCTTTATTCCACCCCCCAACTCCCTCCACCGCCTTTTCTTCTCCCTTTCCTCCCCCTCCCCGGCTTGGTGCGCGCCTCTTTATTTTCTCGCCTCTCTGCATTTTTATTTATTCATATTTATTTGGCTCTTGCTCTCTCAATCTCTCTTCCCTTCCCTCCCACCTTCCCTCCCTCCGTATCTCTGCTCTCTCTCCCCGGAGTGGCGCGTCGGGGGCTCCGCCGCTGGCCAAGCGTGATGTTGCACGTGGAGATGTTGACGCTGATATTTCTGGTGCTCTGGATGTGTGTGTTCAGCCAGGACCCGGGCTCCAAGGCCGTTGCCGATCGCTACGCCGTCTACTGGAACAGCAGCAACCCCAGGTAAGGCAGTGGGGGTGGGGGGGGGCGGAAAGCCAGGGCTATCCGGGCCTAGGGGCCCTGCGGAAGGAGCGGCCGCGCCTGGGTCCAGTGCGCATCGGCCGCCTGCGGCGCTCACTCTCAGAGCCTGCATCGCCCGGCGCCGGTGGCTTTCGAGGCGCCCGCGGGAAACGCTCCCGTCGCACCCCTCTTTGTTAAGACGCGGCAAAGACCCCGGGCGTCCCCGGGGTTGCTCAGACCCTCTGCCTCTGCGGAGCGCGGGACACTCGAAAAAGGCGGGAGCCCGGGAGTCGAGACTTCGCTTCCCCACCCGGCAGGCTGGCCAGCATCCGGATCCAGGCGCAGGGCTTGGGCACGGGGAGCCCCAGGTGCCCGCCACCAGGAGCCCCCGCTTGGAGTGTGCCGGTGCGCAGGGACTGGGGAGAGAACCTGCCAGATATCCCGAAGTTTGGAGGGTTTTTTTGGTTTGGTTTGGTTTTTAATTTTCCTTCCCTTTTTTCCGGTGCGCTCCGAGAGCGCACTGGCTGGGGGAAGTGAAGGGGGCTGGGAAGCGGAAGCTTTAGGTTTTTATTTTCCTCTTTAAGTGGGAGGAAATCATCCGGCCCCTAGGTCAGTCTGGGCCCTGCTTTCTTGGCAGTATAGAGGATTCTCCCACCTCCTCCACCACCCGGTGGGCCAAGGTGCTAGAAAGTTTGGTCTAATGCCGGGTTACGTCATGCATGCGGAGCTAGCTGCTGGAGTTGGCCGAACCGGGAGGTGGGAGCGCTTCGTCTGAAGCCCGGCGGCGTGCAGCAGGAGGAACACGCGCGGTTACCTGGAACCGTTTTGCGGGCGTCCCCGAAGCCCGCAGAGTACGCGGGAGGTTAGAGGTGGGCGCCCCGGGTCGCACTAGCGCTCCTGCTGGACCCTGGCCACCCGCAGATGTCCCTTGCTCCCACACCCTGGAATGGGGTAGGAGTGGGGTTGTCCAGAATGCCGGGCGGACCCCTCCCGATCCAGAGTGGGTCCAAGTCCTACTTTCTACCGTGCAGCAGCCCTCTGGGCCCATATTGCTCTGCTTCTCTGGGACTGAGGCCAGCTTCCAGCTGTGGACTGGTCTTAGTCCCCACCAAGAGGGAGGGAAATAGCATTGATTATACGTAAAACCCCAGGCTTTCCCCTAGGTTGGAGTGGAAGTTAGGAGGATAGAAACGGGAGGACAAGGGGAGAGTTTGTGGTTGCTGCGTGTCCAGTGCGCCTGGGGAGAGGGAGCTGACGGGCCACCTCCAGTTTTTCCTACCTCCCAGTGGCCCTCTCCAGTCGGCCTCCCGCCTTCCTTTGTTATGCAGGCTGGGGAAAGATTCCCCCGCTTGAAGTAATGTCCTCTCGGATAAGGATGGGCAGATTTCCTTACAAGCTGTCCACCGGTTTCCAAATGGAGAGTCTCCCCAACTTGCTACCCCAGGAAAGGTAGTCACACCCGGGAAGCCCAGGTCATATTTGCACTGCCTGGTCCAAGTGGAGACATCCCTGAAAGTTTGGTTAAAAAGAAAAGTCTCCTGAAGGTGGGTGGTGTGATGGAAAGCAATTTCTTATTTGACATGCCACTTACCACTATTAGGAAAAGAGAAAGAGAAGCCATCCTGCCAGAAGAGATGCCTTTTATTAAAGCTGACAAGACAAATAGAGCAAGCTTTCCAGTTGTGATGGTGTTAAAAGCAAGTCTCATTATGTTGGCTGGTTTTATTCCCTTTTGGGCTTTATTAGACAGCATATACGAAACAGGAATTTATATTTCTAAACTTTAGTGCTTTATTAAATAGAAATTGATTAGTTGAATTTGGGACTATTTGCTTTTGGTTGTCTCCCCCTCCACCCCGCTCCAAACTTCACAGCATAATCTTTTTCTCATTGTATTAATTGTTTTGGATACTTGGGTGTTCCAGTCATCTGGGTTAAAACAGAAAGAATTAGCAACATTCCCACTCTGCCCCTCCTTCTTAACCTGTCAAGCTAGTCTGAGTTAGTTTGAGGACATTTTATCTTAGGTTCTCTCTGTTTTATGCTTTTGATACTGTTGTTTGGTTTGAGATTAGTACATTGATTTCTGTCACAGGTCATGTTTTTTAATAGATCTGCCCTGCATGTAGAAAATTCTTCTGCTCAGGAAGCCATGGTGGCTTTGAACCTACCCAAAGTTAATCTGTAGAATTTTAGAATACCAAGAGTATTCTCAAGTCAGTGTTCTTATTTGAGGTTTGTGGAAATACCTTTCTATTCGATCATTAACAATTTAGTAATGTTCAAAAGAAAGAATGAGGTGCCCCCCCGCAAGAGATTCAGCTCTAACTTTAGTACTCTTAGAGGCTTGTAGTTGTGTTATCTTCATATGTTACCACAGTAAAACTTCTACTTTAAAAAGTAATGTAATTTTAAAATTACGTACTGGTGCACAAATTTTGAATAAGATGGTGCTTTTCTGGTGAATAAAGAACAGTCAGCTTGGATGTAATTTAAAAGGAGCCAAATGCAAAATAAGTAATTTAGAAATAAACAGTTCATCACAAAAGATAGTGAAAAAATATTTTAGAAAATTTGCGGAGGTTTACTAAATTTAAACATTTTAATGTTTTACATTTCCTTTTCATCTGCGTTATCACTTTGTAAAGTAAGCTAGCCATGACTTTCGGTTTTACCTAAATCCTCTCTTTTAAGATTTTGCTAAACTAATAAATATAATTAGATGTAAATCTTTTGGGAAAAAGTGGAAAACTTTAACTGCGACTTAAATAGATTTAAAACGCTCTTCTCTTAGAAGAAAAGTTAGATTGGACATATTAAGCTGATCATAAATGGATATTGTGGCAAAATGAAGTAAATATATTTAAAGTTATACTAATGAACT